GCACGAACGGCATCTTTTACTACGCGCCGAGCTTGTTCAAGAAGGGCGGGATCACGGACCCGACGATGGCGAACCTGGCGACGGGGGGCGTGGGCGTCGTGCTGTTCGTCAGCTCGTGGATCCCGATATTCTACTTCGACCGCTTGGGCCGTAAGACGTGGTTCCAAGTTGGGTTGGTGGGCATGGTGGGTGCGCTGTTGGGAATTTGCTTCTTGCAGCAGCATGCCACGGATCATCCGGGGAGCCGGGCGAACAATGCGATCGTCCTGTTTCCGTACCTGTTCTTCACATTCTTCAATATGAGCTGGAGTTCTGGATCGTGGACCTATGCTGCTGAGATATTTCCCATCTCTCTACGAGCAAGTTTCAATTTCAGACATCATTGCGAGAGTGATCCCGTTTTGCTAACCAGTCACCAGGCCAAGGGCAATGCCCTATGTACTGCATCGTTGTGGGTGTCGAACTTCGTGGTGGCGCAGGTCTCGCCGCCCATAGAGAGCGCGACAGGCTATGGTTTGTACATCATATTCATCATCATCTGCATCGTAGCGTTTATTTTCGTGCGCTATGCTCTAGGTGAGCCCTGTCTACGTCTTGCATACTTATCTCGATCTAATCAGTCGTAGTGGAAACCAAGGGGCGGTCTCTAGAAGAGATGGCCGAGCTTTTCGGCATTGATGGAGCCGATGGGAAGGAAGGAGACGCTTTGGACTCGGCAAGACAGGGTAAGCTTGACAACTGCTCCATTAGCACTCGATGATCAAGAACTAATAGCGATTGCGCTATAGGCTTGCTTGAAGCCGATTCGAGGGATGACGGCCAAGATGTCGTCCACGAAGGGATGGAAAGATCTGGATTGGAATAGTCCTGTACATTATGTGAGATTGGGCATGAATTTCACTTGAAAATTCCGAACAGAGCTCGGATCATTTTGTGTTGACTACTTTGTAGATATGTGACTATATACTGCAGTAAGTGGATAGATACTCTAGACATGCCTCCCAGCACGGCGTCTTCTACTGGGGCCTCAGTCATCTCCGAGACACTTGGATCTCTTCTTAAGGGTCGAACATGTCTCAGTGTCTCTCCAGACCTTATCTTGATATCATGGCAGTTTATCTACTACCTATGTTCCGCTGGCTGCCAGCAGCTGCCTCCAGTTTCATCACTTGGTCCAGTATGTGTGCGGTTATGGCAACGACAAGAAGATCAAGAAATTGGTGACCAATCCCCATGGTCCTCGTCGCTTGGTATACCTGCTTTTAACGCATTTGCAGGATCATGCAGCAAGTCGGCGGCGCCCACGAATCGCATCTGCTCCACAAAACCGATCTCTCCACTAAGGCTGAAACCCTACTTTTCCAACAGGACCTGCCTAGGATAGAATTACCCCGATGCAAGGTTCTGGGATAACATGCTTCGGTTGCTGATCCGAGGTCAATATACCGGCACTAATCGACTATTCTGAAGGCTCTATTGGGTCACTGTTCCCTTCTTGGCAGTCCGTCGCACCTTTTGGAGTATAACTAAAAGAAGCCACCTGCTCGCTTGCACAGCTGTGGGTGGTATGGCAGTAACTTACTAGCTACTTCAGATGAACTGGATGTCGAATATAGGCAGCTTGTCTGGTACATAGTTGCCAGCACCAGATATACTATAGAGGCGTTCGCACAAAGTGCGCTCACTTCCATGTTAGTCGAGACATCCGCCGGTTTTTTGCAGGTGTTGTTGGCACTTCAGTAAGACAACATTGCCAGCTCAATTCTGTTTTAACTTGTGTGGGACTAAGGGCCTTTTCGACGTCATGGACGCGGGGTCCTGGCGGCCGTCTTGCTCACAAAGAGAACACTGCAGTCGAGCGCAGTTTCCGGCAGGTAGCAGTGAGGTACAGCCATGAGTTCGCAGATCGAAGGTCGCCGTACATATCAAAAGTCTGGTAATCTCGGCTAACGTGCAGAAAAGAACGTCTGTGCATGCTTGCCCGCATATGCGTCTGCTGGTAGCCCTATCACGATCCAAAGAAGTATCTCTAGCTCTATGCTATACAGGTACGAGAGACTAGGCGAATGCCAGTCCTCGCAAACATGACCGGAGTTTGAGGCGGAGATTTCGTACAGACTCTTGTCAAGTGACATCTCCCCAGGTTATCCATGCTCATGTCCATCGGCTGCCGTTTAATGATGAAGGTAAGGGTCCTACCGGCGCGGGTATTTGACGTTAGTCTGAAGACTCCCCCACGCCACAGGAACGTCGCGAACCCGGATCTGCGAAGTCCAGCTCGCTCTCTCCATTTATCTATCGCTCTAATTCCCAGCTCACGTCAATTTCCGTCAAGCATGGTTTGCACAATTAATATAGCCAAGATCCGCTTTCCCGAACCCTGCCCGATGCCTTGACCAATTTCATCAGCGCTTGTGGCATTGTAATGACATTCCAGCTCCCGTCCGAGGTCCATGGGGTCGCGGCTGGTGTTTTGGCCTACTCGTTCCTTGCGCTAATCTGTAGTGCTCTGATGGTATGGCTGGTCTGGAGTCATCAGGAGAGGACAAACCGTAAGTCAGGACCCGATAGCCCCGGGAGCACTGGTGAACCGTTTTGCTAATTACCAGAGTGTTATAGATGTGGCTTGTATATCATACCTGCTATTCTTGAGCACTTCCACCTGTATAATATCTCAGCTTCATGACTTTGTGCAGTACTCTGATGTCGTGGAGGCGCAATGGCGATATGCTCGTGCCCATCCCCAGAGTCCTGAGATCAAGGTTTCGAATGGGGCTATTAAGCTTGACCTTGGTCTCTGGTACTTCCGTATGTCTTCCCGTAATATTCGATGCACGCTGTTAACCGGAGCATCAGGACAATATGCATACTCTGCTGCATCTATGCTCGTATTATTCTGGTATTCGGATACCCTCACCACCACATTACACATCTCCATGCTCACTCAAATGTAGGGCGTTCTCATTGATGCAGTCAGTGTACGGCTGGTCCGAAAAGCAAAAGCTGAAGAAAACCCTCCAACATATCAATTCTACTGGCAAGGTTATCTCGATCATACTACCCATCCTGACTATATGCCTTCTGCAATCGGATGCTGTTCAACAGACTACAGGCTTGTTCTTCTTCCTGGCCAATGTGATCCGTAAGCGGGTACATCCAATGACTTCGCAAAGAACGGTTCCTGACTTCATACAGTAATGCTCAGCTTGCTATTCGGCATCGTGTTCATGCTCGCGATCCTAGGCAGATATATACACAGCCGGAGGCGTTTTCTTCAATGGAGCGTAGGATATGGTCGATCTTTGGACACGTCTACTACTTCGACGTCTCGAGACAGAAAAGTGACGATGACGGCGACGAAACGCCCCAAGAGTATATATGACCGTTGGCTTATGACGCGCTTCACGATAGCTTTCATCATACTCAGGTACAGACAATACCTTCTCCCCTCCTCCTTGTTCGTTGAGACGTGAGCCACAATGTTAAACAGTAACTACATGTAGTGTTTTTGAATTCACCAACATCCTCTTCCAACTCTCCGGTCTTTCCAACAGCAATAAAGATGCAACCCTGGATCAGCCGGACCTGAGCGTCGCACGAGCTCGAGAGACCGCAGTGCTTTTCCTACCTGGGCCTGCGCCAAGCTTTCTACTCTTCATCGTTTTCGGAACTACAACGCCTTGTCGGAAAAAGATGCGCGAAACTTTTGTGCCAAAGAGGTGGCAGAGGAGGAAAAACCAACAACGCGATCAAGACATAGAGCTTTGTAGCTCGCCAAAAGTCACCAGGATCTCGGAAAACGTCAGCAAGGGCCAATTGCACCAGCCAAGTCCAGTTACCCCGATTGGCGGAAACGAAGTGCCTCTATCGCCCAGACACCCGCCCCATCATCCCCGGAATCACTACCGGAAAGATAGTCCCGGGTCGGAGGACGCCATTGGTTCCGCTGCGGTGTACCCTTACGATGGTATCTGACCAGGGCATGAACAGAGACGGATTCAGAGCATTGGAGTTCAAGGTTCTGTTGACCCCATATACCTCACAGCATTCAGAGTGCGGTATGCCCCTGGCTTTAAAGTCAGCACTTTCACCTTTCCTGATAGAGATTTCCGACATTGATTGCAGTCAAACATGCAGTGTTAAACACAGCCGAACTAGCACTCGTGTTCGGTCTACGCCGGCAGGGGAAAATGCCAAAAATGAACTTGCATGTTCTGTAGCAAGTATAGTCGAGCTTGATACTACGAGACGATAATCCCCAGAAACATTTGAAGTCGCAGCGGCCTCTCGACCTCTATAACCCTTGACACGCGAGCCTCTAGTACTGGCGCCCAGGTCATGGCAATCACTTCAAACAACTCCACCTCCCTAGACAGCTACTGAACACACTTGAAACCGCGCACCACCGCCCCCAGGTAACCGGTAGCCCTCGTGGGGTCATCGTCCTTGTCGGGCCCGTACTCGCAGTCCGGCTGGGTACCTATACGTGATGCAGTGGTCAACCGAGGACGGTAATTGCGACATGCGTTATGATAAGGGGCGCGGGGGAGTATATCGTGGTGATCTATGTCGACCGATGCTTGATTGATCCTCAAGTGTATAACATTGTACCTAAACTGAATTAGCCCCCTATGCTGCACAGCTAGCTATTTCTCAACGTGGTCAGAAGTTTTTGCCTACCAAATGGAAACGGACCATTCATATAGGTGGTCAATTGACGAGACGTCCCCTCCTACGAGAAACGACTCTACGTCGTCAGTCAGATTCCAGATTCCTTATCCGTGGTGCCCCGCCAAGGTCCTTTTGGTCTCAGCGCCGTGACATGATACTTTCCGGGAATCTGGGCGGGTGAAGATTGTCAATCATCAAGAGCGTGTGTGGAAAGGATGACACAGTGTATTCATGACGATCAATTGAAGGAGAAGAAGAACGAAAAAAGAACAAGAAAAGGGCAACTGTCACAACTGCAAAAACATTGCTAATGTAATAATGAAGACAACAGGACCGAACGTGGTTCGAACACGTGACCTTAGGATATATTGCGAGCCAGACTGCAATCCCACGATCTACCACTGATCTACCGATCCCGATTGGTGAGTCTGGGGCTCTTATGGCAGATTCTATACCTGCTCCACGTTGTGTGGGACAGAGACAGTCATCGGTTTACCTAAGCAGCTGGCGTTTGCTGTCCGGCAAACTCCGATGAGCTTTCAGATCGCCCATCTGCAAATAGCAGGAGAGCCTGCGCGTTTATTTGCCAAGAGCAAACTGCTACATATAAAGGAACTATGAAGATGTGCTCAAGTACCTTTCATCATTTCATTACATTGGTTCAACACTAGGCAACGTCCATTATGTTAAGAACGCGGCCCGGAGAAGTCGGTCCTCCGCTCTCAAGAAGCGCGCTGCCCGTCCCTCTCTGTTCAGACATTTTGCCAGCACTGAATGTTGCGCAAGACGACAACAAGTGAGACCATACGGCGGCTCGGGCATTTGAGGTAAGGTGGTGTGTAAAGCTCAATGTTGGCCAACTTGAGACTCGTGCAGGCTTGTCGTGGCGGATCAGGTTCCTCGTTGCAATCTGCCCAGATAACGCCTTCTACGGTAATATGCATGTCTACATTTCTCGTACATTTGCTTTCGGCCTCGGGAACGCCTCAAGGTAGATGCTCGCCTTTCTCCGATGGCTGGGAGAGGACCCTATGCTCGGTGTGACACGTGAAGGCGATACAGCTCGGGTTTCAACAAGTGACCACCTATTGTTCTGATCGATTGTCTTCCCGAAGTTCTCATGGACGTCGACGCGCAGAGGACGCGCAGCGAGGCATGCCATCCATACAGACTTGCGCCGCCTAAACAGGTAGGCATGCATGGCATCGCTCAAAGCATGATGTAGTGTCTACTGCGTGCATCAAATGCAGACCCCTCAGGACCCTGAAAAAACAGACACGACGAAATTGGACCTCCTTTGTGGCATTGATCAGCCCCTCCCAGCGACCAACCAAGGAGATGGCCGTTGGGCAGCCAGGCTATCATGGGCCATGCGCCTGTCGCGAGAAGCCATGTTGCGGCCCGCGCTCCCAACTATGAGGTTGTCAAGTGGACCTGAACCAGCCAGTCTCACGGTCCGGCACGCTTCACCGCTTGACACGTCGCGCCATGCCTATGGGCTGTCATCTCGGAGAATAAGTCAATCGCGTCTCAAGGACAATAAAAAAAGCAGAGTGGGTTGGCGACAACAACAATGCCAGCGGAGGAAATGATATATCAAAGGATCCTCCGAGATGGCCGGCTCCTCGCACCATCTTCTCATTCTTCCGGCGCGGTCTCTACCGACGAATACGATTTGGGGACCCTAGGGCAGGATTCCCTCAGGGTAGGATAGAGGCAATGGAAGGGAAGATTTGGGACTGCATCGGGCAGCAGTCAGCTCCGGTGCCCAAGATTGGCGATGTGGTAAGTTTCCCCATCCTCAGCTCTTTGAAGTGAGAAGACCAACGGTGACCAATCGGGCTAACGGCTGTGCAGGTGATTATCATTGTTATCATTACCAGCGGCCTCACGGTCATCAGCCTCCTTTTTCAGTATCTGTTCTCTTATGATGCGCTGCACGACGGAAACGCAACGAGACCACCGAATCCGGTCGACTTGGTCGTTTTGACCCGTTTCCGGCGGCTGCTGGGTATGAGCTCTGGGCTCACCGAAGAGGGACCGTTACAATCGGCGCTTGAGCAGAGCATCCAGAGCCTGGCCGACGCTCACCTGGGCGTGGCTATCGCGTTACTCGCGTATGGATGCGCAGCGCTACCCCGTGGCTCAAGCGTAGGGCACTGGTGGCAGCTGTTGGGCTTAGCTTGGTTCGCTGTGATCACCAATCTAGCTGCGCATACGTTCCTCCGAAGCCACTACAGGCTGTACCCTGCGAAGCGCCCGTGGCGTCTCGTGCTGCTGGTATGCCTGATCTGTGCCCTGGCATTTGGCATGATACCAACGGCGCGTGTCAAGCATGCTTTAGCTGGGCAAGTTGACGGTGAGGCAATAGGGGCATTGCTCGACTCGCCTGCTTTATGCTACTTTCCTGGTCACGCCTCGCCTCTCGACTTGCAATTCCAGCTTGAGACAGTTGCACTCCCAGGTCTATGGATTGTTGGTGCGCTTGCTGTCTGCGCACTCGCCTCTGTCGTGCTTCGGGTATGCCGTGTTTCCGGCACTACAAGTGCTATGGCGGCACAAGACGAGCCATCGACGGTCGGAAATGGTGTTCAGTGTGTGCGATGTGAGCAGCGAGTGCGACTACTTGTCTTGAAGCCGCTCCTCGCATGCTGGATGACACTACGCGTCTACGCCGATGTGTTTACCTCGGTTGTGGCACAGGTCCTGGGGCTTTCAGCATTGATGGCCTGGGTCAGCTTGCGATTCTTCGAGGTTCGACAATTGGCCCCTAATCCCGTGGGAGGTGAATGGGAGTGGTCTCTTGAGCAGATCTTCGCTGTGGTCATAGTCGCAGCCCCTCTCAAACATCTTGCTGGTTACGTCTGTTACGTCCTCATGATCCGTGTACAGCACCCAGCGGCAGGACCCAGCGTTCAAATCTCGCTGGTCTTTGCACGAGCTTACAGAGGACTTCTTGCGAACTGGAGACACCGCCAAGGTTATGAACAGCTCACGGACGGCGACCAAGAGTCTCGGAATGGTGCCTCGCTTAGTGACGTGCCTTCCCCCGAGGGCAACGATGACTCCTACCGGCAACGTGAACGCCAGCGCACCATACGCCGTGCCTACAAACAGTCCGGCTACGCCGTCGTGTACCAATACTACTTTGTACGCAGGTGGCTCTCCCCCGCCATACCCATCTTCACTATCGCATTACACCTAGTCCTGCTACTCGCAGTGCCACAAACGACACGCCTTGACCCGGCTGCCGCAGTACGTCGTACTGCGGCTTGGGCCGTGCTGTACTCGCCTTTGCTGCTCTACGCGTACATCCTGGCTTCGATGATTGTGGAAGAACGCATTCGATCAGCGTCCCGTCGCAAATCCTATTACAGGCTCTTGATTGCGGCTGCCCTTGGGCTCTCAGCCGGCGCAGTGCTTGATACCCTCTTCGGGCTGGGCGGCACGCCCTTATCCTACTTGGCCATGGCAGCCTTGGGCCTGATCGGGGTGGCGTATCTGCTTTACGGACTTGTGGCACAGCCGGGTTTGAGTTGGGCTGCCAAGGGAAAATGGCGCGCTTCCGAGGACGTCGAGGGACAGCGAGGCGCGAAGGCGCAGGAGGAAGAGGAGGAGGAACTGGAGGGTGAGGAGCGAAAGCAAACTCAGGTACCAGTGCATGTTCGCGTTCCTGCGAGAAAGGGGAAGGGCCGGGTCACAAGTATCGACAAGACGAAACGCATGGGGGTGCGATCGCAAAGGCTGCTGCAGAAAGCAAAGCCCAGTTACGGCACCATGGATTCGGCACAGCAGCGTGACTAGATGCTGCCGAGAGAGCGTGGGAGGTAGGCTGCATGAGACACCAAATGAATCTGTGAGATAGGTTCATGTTTGATTTTACCTTTTTTTTCTTTGCGTGTATCAGATTGAATGTGGCCGCGAGGCTAATGCTATGAACGACGACACGAAGATATGCTATAGACAAGACACGCGGTATGAAATATAAAATAATTTGAAATCCCGTTCAGAGAATGCTGCATGAAAGCATGGCAAGCTTTTCCCCCAATCCAAATCTTCAAGAACTACAAATCCTTTTGCATAGCTTTTCGGCATTACATGTGACGTTGTGAAGATCATCAGGTGGGACTTATAGCCATATTATAAGCATTGAAAGGGAAGGATAGTCCTTACTTTTCAGCTGTCTAGATCTATACATAGTAAGAGATGGTCCGGAGCCCGAGCCGATGTTGCCATGGGCATTGCCTTGGGTGGTGTGGCTTAGGCAGGTAGCCATGACTCAGTAGCAAGTATGTAGAACGAGGCCCGTCACAGACATTACACCGTGGGGGAACTCACAGCTGGCGCTAGGGGTAATGTTGGATTACAAGCCACAGCCATCACGTTCATTGGAAAATAAAGGGGAGCGCGCCTAGCTTAGATAGAGATACTACTACATGGCCGTTGATTTGTCAGGGATGATATTATTTCCTGCGGAAATACTGATGTGAATTGTAGAACCCTTTAGTATCATTTGGTGGATATTCCGATATGATTATTATCTCCACCGCCTCATTAGCATACAGTAGGGTGCTGCAGCCTGCAGGCAAAGAATCCCGTAGGCGTTACCGGTACATAGTCTCTTTGAGTATTTTTTTGGCACCATATCAAATTCTGATAGTCCGCGTCATAACTGTGTCAACGAGCATGTGCAGAAAAATGGCTTCGGCCGAGCTACTCAGGCAGGGCCGGACTAGCCGAGTACTCGAGTCCAACAACCGGCTCATGGCACATGAAAACAAGATTACTAACAAAATGCACTTCGATCAGTTCTCCCAATCATTTTTCACGTACACGATGGCCTTGTTTTTTTTTAGCCAGGAACCTGCCTGAAGGTGCACAATACAGGAGCCCTACGGAACGATTACGCGGCGCATACGCATGATCTGCGGCTGAGGAGCCCACATAAGTTCATCAATGTCGATGGGCCTCCCCAGTCCGGGCGAGGCCGTGTCTGCATACCGCGGGGTCGGATACGATTGCTTCTCGTATATTCTCATGAGATGCTTTATGATCGACTTGTTGTGAGATGCCATTTAAAGGGGCCTCAAAGCCTCTTGGGCTACGGTTCACGTACAGTATCGTATAAGCTTCTTCTCCATTCTCGTCACTACGACATCATCCAACGACACTCGCTCGACTACAACATAATACAACGACGCTCTCTTGACTTCGATCCCTATTTACACCCTTACGAACATTGTAATCAATCGTCAGTCACTATGCAACTCACCAACCTTCTCGTTTTGCCTGTCGCCGCCGTGGCTGCTGTAAGTCATCCTTGCCTGGACTACGGCCTTCTCGTCCACAAAACTACGGAAAAAAAACTATAGTCGGAAGATGGACTAACATATTCAAACCCAATCAGGCCTCGAGC